GCGGCCGCCGACACAGGTAAGGCCGTGGGAAGGGGAGGAGCAAGTTCGATAACGGAGGTGCTCAGCGCCGGTATGGAGGTCCCAACAGCCAATACCGGCGTCGGTCGGCGATGAAGCGATTACCAATTCCGGCATCGTCATTTAGTAGGTTTTGCAAGAAGCACTCACTGTATTGTTGACTGCCGGAATAGTTTGAGATTTTGCGCGAGTTTGAAATTGTTTGAAGAACGTTGGTTACTTCAGGGTCTATTAATATTTGGGCTGGGCAAGTTTGGCCCAAGAAAGCCCATTAACATTGCAATTCCCTATAACAGCTCGGCCCAGAAGGCCCATTAACATTGCAATTCCCCCTAACTGTTCGGCCTAAAAAGCCCATTAACAGTTCAAATAGATATGTACTACTTTTTAGACCACTAATCAACATTTACCTACTATTTAATCAATTTTTAGTATGAAATAAAATAACAATTAGTTAACACATGTAAAAAAAAATTACTATATTTTGAACGGCTACTTTTATAAGTTTCAGCTTCGTAACATTGTCCTTGAATTTCACTTTTATAAGTTTGAAATCAAGGATATTGTCGTGGACTTCCAAATTAAAAAGATACTATTTCTTTAATTTGAATATTTCACTTGTGCCTTAATTATGATCTTTGGGGGGCATTTGTATTCCTTCAATTTGAGAAATATGACAAATTGCTTGTTGATGACATTACTTTATCACCTTATTAACTATACATGCATAAAAAACTATTTTGATGAATTTTGAAGAAATTTAACATGTGTAAAACAAAATCAATTATCACCCATGTTTAAGAGAATTTGAAGTTTGACTAAAAATGGTACTAGTCTTTGTTGATGCAACATGTTTTAGAAAATTGGTGGAGAAATAATGTATTTGGTTTCAATTGATGAGGACATATACTGCTTGTGACATATTTAAGTTTGACGATTTTAATTTAAAGCAGATCATGTGGAATTGATTCAAAGAATAATTTGAGTAGTAAAGCGCTCTTTAGAAAGTGCACTATTAATTGTGTTTTGGATTAATTTTCACTCTATTAGTCAAATAAGTAAATATTGAGCAACTTTCACATATAACAAATATAAAAATCATATTTGTATGTTATAATAATAATTTGCATAATTGCGCTCTATAGCAAATTTTATGTTTGCTATAGAGCTTTTGATTTGTATAATTCGCTACAAACATCCAATTTTATACAAATTGTTCTGTTTTGTATAAATTTATTTATACATTGTAATTTGTCTAATAAGATTTGTATTTGTATAATTATAAGTGTATAGGACGAATATATATGTATTTGTATTTGTATATACACTTTTCTCTCGCTTTATACAAACACAAACGCATTTTATACCGAAATGTATAAAATGACTAATTGTATACCAAATCAGATGGCAAAAAAAGGGATTGTTTGTTGCGCATTACAATTAAAATAAATTATGGACATAACATTTAATTTAAATTAAGTATAAATTATAGGAACGACATATTATAAGTACTAAATAACATCCTATCCCTTCTAGTTTTCTATTTACCAAAAATCCCTTAAAAATGATGTTTGCGGGATACATAGCGTTGTGCACGGGATACATTAGGTTTGATACATTCCACATAGCGAGATACATAGCGTTGTGCACGGGATACATGCGGGATACATAGGTAAATAAGGAATTTTTGAATTTTTTTAAATAAGTAGGGATAAATGAATATTAAAGTAAGTAAAGGAGTGTAGTTAAGTAATTTGTCCTTAAATTAATAATTTGTTATTTCATACCATTTTTCCTATTTAATAACATGCCCCCCATAATATGGAAAAGTCAAATAAACGCAATCAATTGGTTTATAACTGATTAAGACACTAAAATCCCAAATGAAATCAACTCGAATTCTTCTAATAGGGCCAGTGTTTTTTGAATTTATATTCCATTGTCTTCAAAGTAGTAATAATTATATTAATTAATTAATTAGCACTTACAAATATCTAGAAACAATTAGTTTCTCCATGATTGCACGTTTCGAAAATTGTAGAAACAGAAAAAGTTTCAAACCTTCTACTCGTTTAAAGTAGAGAAAAAAGATTCTTCTAAAAACTTTACAATATATACATGTAATTTAATTAGTAGTATTTAGTACAAGTACTATATATTCAAAGTTTATTAAATCGTCAACAAAGGTAGTATTTTCGAAGGAAAATGTCAATAAAGTGTACACTAAAAAGACTCAACATAGAAAATTCCAATCTTTACATTCACTTTATTAATAATAATGCAAATATTTATAGGAAAAAAATTATAAACTTTTTTTTTTTTGCTTTTCACTAATTTCAAAAATTGTGTCATGGTCCAATACGGCTGTTAAGCAAACACCAACAATCGATTAAAGTATCTTTAAACCGGATGATCCGTATTCCACTTTTTTCTATAGACCCAAATATTCCCATTCCACCATCTTTCCTTTTTCTTTTGCTTTGAGGTGATGAATCGTTAGTAGCTGGTTTGAAGGTGAGTTATACATGTGTTAATTCATGCATAAGTAATGTTATATTTGGTAGTTAATTACAAAATAAGTTATTCAGGTATAAAATTAATGTAATGTTTGATTTGAAATTTAAAAATAATTCGTATAATTAATACATATATAAATTATGAGGAAATATATAGGTATTATTGTATACATGATATTAAGCGGAATAACTGATACTACACAACTAATATATGCATAACATAATACATATATTTCCTTATAACTAATCCCTATATTACTAAATATATGCATAACTCTAATCAATTACCAAACGATCTTTTATATATATATATATATTCTATGTACTACACGTGCAGCTTTCTACCACGTGCCACTTCCTTGTTAGAAAAAGACAGAAGGAAAGTCTAAACGAACCCATCCTTCATTCAAACTAGATAGCTAGGATTAGGGTTATTATATATTTTTCTCTCTTATTATAAGACCAAATTTAATAATTACATGAGCCAAGATTTTCTCAGCTTACTTTCCTACCACTTTTTTGTTATACAAGATTTGAGAAACCTCTTTTTTCTACATCTTCTTATTCCTTGCTTTTCATTTAGCTTTCAAGGTATTTGTCTCGAGGTGGATCTACGAATTCATTACTTTAACTATACATATAGATATACAAATAAATAAATAAATTACAAAGCAAGTATATATACATATAGCAAGGTGAATCCCACATTGATAAAATAAGAGAGATGAAGGTATTGGGTATATAAGAAAACAAGGCTCAGACCATAGTAACACATTTTAAAGCCACACGGGCTTAGGTTTAATTAAAACAAACAATATCACTGCTAGTGGGATGGATTCATACATAAGATCATATAGTAATCAGAGCTACGGTTTTGAATGAATCCAATGATCTCGTCTAAAAGTTTAAATTAGTAAAAAAAGAAAAAATCACAATTTTATAAATTTAATTCTCTCTCAATACTAATAGCTTTTGCTTAAACCTCTTTCAACTTTAAATCTTGACTCTGCTTCTGCCTATAACTTCGTATTCTAAACACATGATTTTTAATAAGATCACACTTATTCTGAACGCGTAGTAATTTAAATCTTTGAATTTACATTAAGTTGTTAGGAGAAAGAGAATAGTGAAAAAGGGAAAAAATTGAGAGTAGTGTAGAAAAGCAAAAGCAAACTTTACTTGGTATATGATTGTTACACAAAGGAACAAGTAAAGTAGGTATAGAAAAGAAAGATATTTTGTTTTCTTAACCACCAGTCAAATAAAAAAACCTATCTTCCCCTTTCCCTTAGGCAAAAATCCAAAGAATGACTAGTGATAAAAGAAGTTAGAAGAAGAAGTGGACACATAGAGAGTTTCAAACACAACAAAATTAGATGCTTAAAGTAGGAAAAGACATAGGTTTATTTTTTTCTTCTCTGGTCTTTCAGAAGAAGTATAGAAGCCTTGATAGAAACGTATCAAACAAACAAAAAAGAAAAACATTTTCCAGTCTCTTTTTTTTTTTAAAAAAATAATAATAATTTCACCATCATCGAATGACTAAACATTTTTAAATTTTTTATTTAATCTTTTTGCTAGGTTCTGTACATGATTTTGTTCTCATCTCTGTGTTTTTTTACTCACTTTTTTGTGTCTGACCGTGCAAGTTCAGTAAACGAGAAATTGAGATGCTCCACAATATTCTTAATAATCAGAGAGAAGCCATAAATCATAATAATTATGATCATAGTTTAACTTTCTTACTTATCATGATAATAATTATTACCTCTATAATTACACAATCCTTAGTGCTAATTCATCAATATTCACCGAACAAATTAAAATTTTTGAAATAATTAATTGTGTATTTCCAATTGCCAAATGATGATGTATATGCAGTCTTATCCAACACTATCATAACAAAGATAAAAAAAACTTATTTCTGATAAACTCTCAGTTCAAATATAAACGTCTCTCTTTTCTTGATTTCAAAATTTTACACGCATTTTTTTTTGAGATGTGTCTATATTTGTACGTAGAATTCATTAATGTATTGATCAGAGAGAAAGCCCCAGAGAAAAAAAAAATTGTCAATGGACTGAACGTTGTTATAAGCTTTTTACACAAGTTGAAACTGAAAAAGAAGAAAGCATATTTCAGAGCTAACCTTATAATAACTTTCTCTCTCGTGTGCATTAATAAATGCAACTGAAATTTTCTTCAGATAAATCAAAACCAGAAATAAAGGAGAAGAAAAATTAGAATACACATAAAAATAAGTGACATCTAAAAAAAAAAAAAAAAACTAATTATACAACTAACTTTTCCCCCCAATTATAACAAAAATTAACCCACCTGCATTCATGGTTAAATAAGTTATATTTACACAAAGACAAAAAAAAAAAACTCACAAGTACAACATTTCATGATCCACTAACATTTTGAAAAAAAAACTTGAACTTTAATAAGGTAGTGTGGGTGAATAATAATAATACTAATAACAATGAAAAAAAATAAAGTCTAAGATGAAGAAGGAGGCATGAGATTTAATCCTAGATCATTTTTTTCCAAGACCATTAATCTTGCCTTATTTGTCTCCACCATATTCGTCGTAGAATAATAAGAAGATGAATATTCAGGATGAACTCTTTTCTTAGACATAAGAGGAACACCGAATAATTTTGTACTTCTATTATCACCACCTGCATTAATACCTTCATCAAGAATCGTCACACTACTGCTTTGTGATGTCTTGCTTGGTGATACGACGTTGTTGTTGTTGATGTTGGAGATAACAACATTTTTAGGGTTTGTAATTTGTTGATACCCAAACTGATGATGAATATTCATATTCATATTTTTTTGGACTATAGGTGTAGCTGAAGCAGGCAATAGTGAACAAGTATTGTACGAACTACTAGGTGTAACAGGTTTGACATGATTTTGAACGAAATAAATAATGTCGTTATAAAGTTTCCTCATGTGTGCAAGTTCCGACATTAACATATTGTTGCTCCTACGTAACCGGTCGTTGTCCTCCGACAACGCGGTTACTGTATTGGTGTTGGTGAAATTGTTGTTGCTCGCATTATTGTTGGAAGAAGGCGAATCACACCAATTGATATTTTGTTGTTGAAATAATTGTTCATCCGAATCGGGTGGGGAAATACTGAGCCGCGGGTTATAATTAGTCGGGTAATTTGGGAAAAAACCCGAACCCGTATGATATGAATGGTGAGGATTCATTGACATATTTTGTATTGGCTGAGCTGTTTTTCTCCGATGAATTTCACATAATAAATGTTTTTCTCCTCTTTTGAAGAATTCATTAGCGAACTCCCATCGATCCGGTACGATTTTTCTAAAACCCTAATAAATTAAGAAATGTATATATAATCAGTATTATAACTAAACAAAAAAAAAAAATTTAAAAAAATTGTTAAAAGACTTACATAAGTATTGAGTTGACGTACGAAGCTAGAGAAATTGTTGTGTTTGAAGTAATTAGGGAGTAAATCACGAGCAAATTCAGGTGGACGCCAAACAACAAAAGTAGAATCATCTTCACCCCAAGAAACAATATGGTCAGTAGAAGGATCATCAACAAGTTGATATGTTTTTGTTAAAAATGGAGCTGGAACTGATTTATGTGAATCTAATGAGAGTAATATGCCTTCACAATTATCTAGCATTAAAGCCATTTTTGAACAAGAAAAGGTGCAAATTCTTGAATGTTGTTTAGAGAGAAAAATACAAGATGACAAGACAAAATGTTAAGAAGATGTGAGAATGAGGGAGGTAATAATAAGGAGGTTATTTTGAGGTGGGGGTAGGGTGTGTGGGGTGTGGGGGGGGGGGGGGGGTAAAGAAGTTTTTTTTTTTTTTTAATATATTATAGTGAATGGAAAAAGAGACCTCGGTTATGTAGTGAGAGAGAATAAGTGTCTGTATGTCTAGGACTGTGAAATAAGGGCCTTTCAAGACAAACCCGTGACATTTCTTTTTCTTCTCTTTCTACTGACTTTCATCCTCTCACGCATACTACTACAACATTATAAAATCCATTTCGTTTTAAAGTAAGTGGTGTTTTTAAATTAGACACAAACTTTTATCCTTTCACGCACACAATTACAATCTAATAAATGGTGTTTTGTTGGGTAAACAAAGGTAATTTCTTCTTGAAATTCTAAAACACTACTTATTTTGAAGGTGGGTATTTAAAACAGAAAAAAGTATAACATAGTAAATTAATCACTTGACTCTAGTCGAAATAATAACCAAATTGTACTTAGATCATAAGCATAATCATCTAAATCTTATTTGACAAAAAATTATATTGTATAAATATAATTAAAATTATTATTTATATTTATAATTTTTAGTGAAAATTTTGACTCCACATTGATAAATAATGAAATTGGCGGTGCCACCAAATACCAATATTACTTTACAGTCATTTTTAGGGGTAAAATAAAATCTCTCTTGGAACTGCTACTTCTGTAAAATAATATTAATACTAGTGTTACTACTACAGTTCCAAACTAAGCTAAGTTTCATCATTTTCTCTATTTTTACCAACCTTTGACTAGCTACGACTTTACCTTTTTTGACGTGTGACATATTTTAGGAACTACTATATCAAAGAAAATAGCATAGCTAAAAGTTCTAAAAAGAAACGATTCCAGGAAAGTTTTTCTTTTTTATTTGGTCAATCCAGTAAGTTTGGTCAGAAGTATATTAATTGGGGGTGTATAATCAATAATTATATAATAATATTATATCTTTTGGTAAGTACTACTACAAAAATTACTGAGTGTGAATTTTCCTACTCTTCTTTTAGAAGTTTTGACCAACTTTCTAAAACTAGGATTGGATAATATTTGGTACTGATATGATTTTTGTTTGCCATATCTCCCATGTGATGTTATGTTTTGGTAGGAAATTAGGAATATTGTAGTTTTAATCATTTGCAGAAATACTTGTAATTAACGTTAATAAACACCTCACTATATTATTCATAGCTGACATATTGTAATCAATCATTGTATTGGATTATCAACGACTTTATTATTTAACTACAAAATTTATCAATCGTTCATTCTTGTTTCTTTTTAAAAGTGAATTTTATGGTGGGAATTATTTAGTTCTTAACTTGGGTATATATAAACTATGAAGGGTTTTATTAAGTTTATCAGAAACAACCTCTCTAAGGGTTATAAAGTGTGTATGTATATATATATATACACTCAATCTTCTTCAAACTTCACTTGTAGAATCAGACTAGATATGTCCATCTTCTTCTGAATTCACTTGTGGAATCAAACTGGATATGTTCATCTTCTTCAAACTTCACTTGTGGAATCAGACCGGATATGTTTACGTTTTTCAAATTTCACTTGTGGGATCAGACCGGATATGTTATTATTTTTGTTTGTTGTATTTAATAAACTAAGAAGGGCAATTTGGTCATTCTCCTAGATAGTCTATCCTTTAGAAACCAACTAGAATCATATGAAAACTATCAGAAATAGAAGTAGAAGAAGAAGAGTGGTCTATTTTAACATCACGTCTAACGAGTGACTTCATTTTGTATGTATCTATTTGTTGTGTTATGGCACCAACCCAACAACACACTTACTCTCTTCCCAATTTCGAATCTAATCATTTTTTAATTTTTCTACTTCTCATCTTACTGTTTTTTTGCAGGCATAAAAGCATCATATGGTAAAAAAAAATTACAAAAAAATAAAAAGCATCCATCGAACTACGTGACATGATTCAAAAAAGCCTGTTCATAAGTGACAACATTTCACTTCTTCTTCTTCTATTTGCTTCTCTTCTTCTTGTAAATATTCCAAACTTCAATATAACATTAACTCATACAATTATTATTATTTTTTTGAAATTTCTCACTTTTATTATTCAATGGAATATTATTTTATTTATTTTTTTCATTTCACTTTTTAGACTGTTTCTAGGCTTCTTTGAGCTTTGAACCATTTGCCTAACTAACCATTTTTTTGGTTCACTTTTTGACGTGCCTCAGGTGGTGTATTTTGAATTATTGGCCTAAAAAGTTTTTCATGAATAGCTGCAAAATAAATCATTATAGCTTTTTCTTTCCTTGTAATGGCCCAAGAATTTCTTTTTTCACATTTATTTTTTAAAACCAAAGCTATAAGTCCTATACTAGTATTTTTAATTATCGATTATTTTTTTATATACATCAAAGAGTCACTTCCTTCTACCTTAACTTGTTGTCAGAATACGAACATTATGGTTCATAAAATGCATGCATTATATATCCTTTATGGTGGGGGTGGGGGATTGACGATAAAGTACGACATCGATTCATTCGAATTTTGATTGAGTTTTAATATAAATATTAAATATCGATGGAGAAAAGAAGAGCTCGATTCATTTTATATAAGTGGTAAGAGTTGACAGTAAATAGTAGGGACATATATAACATGGCCCAAAGTGAAACCATAGGGAAAATGATGGCTAATTATTTCAATAAGATACCACAACTGATTATTTTGATCATGGCTATCTATGATACTCATTAATTATTATTGTTAAAAGAAAGTAAAATTTATCTATTTCACCATGCCAATCATCACTTATTAACTTTTTTCATTTCTTTTTGGCTGTTATCCACACTGACTTCTGTACTAAAATTATCCAAAACTTCTTTAAAAATCATAACAGTAGTAATCTTCCTTAAGAAGCTAAACTAAATTATCCAAAAGTGTTTGCTTTTTTATTTTACAACATTATTATCACGAAGACAACATAATATATAGTATCTTATAGGTTACTTTTTTCATGAAATACATCATTAATTTTGTAGACAAACCTTAATCAATTCGAGCATTCCTTAATTTCATGGTCATGATCTCTCATAATAACCCTTTAATTTCTCCGAAGTTATAGCATACTAGTGGCAAAATTATCATATCCAAGGATGTGATACAATTATTAATGGAGTGGGTTGAAAATTATGAGGTGATCTCATATTCAAGTCTCAACAAAAACATATATATATTATGTAATTTTTTCTCATCTATCCTTAGTTCTAACCTAATTTCGGTGGATGGAGAATTTTAGTATCTATTGTCGGTGGAAGTTAACAGATATTTCATGAAATCAATCGAAATATGTGATTAGGGACGGCCTCAGGACGAAGACTATTTATTTTTTTCAGAACTCATAAATTTAAAATTTTAGCTCTGCCTCTCTTGACAATATAAAATATTTTTATACACTCAACCGAAATATTATTGACGAAAAAAGGTAAAAAAAAAATATAAAATAATTATAATCATCAAAGTTGTTTCCAACTAAAGTAGTATTATTCCTATTTTTATGATGAGCTACATATACAATTTTAATTATTTCCATTGTAAATACAGATCTCTTTTATCCAAAAAAAATAAAATAATACAATAATATATATATATATTTGTGAATTATGCAATGCACAGTCCGTATATTAAACACGTCAACAACATGAGGGGTAGACCTAATTTTGACCATATATACAACATGGATATCGAATAGGACATGAAGTTAAAGAAACTATGAATATCGGTACATTTGTTTATATATTTCAGGAAAAATATATTAAAAAATACTACACACATTAAAGAAAAACAATTAAAAATATTATTAGTAAACAAGAGTGTCAGCTTTTGAAAAAGAAAAAAAAATCAAGTTCCAATATTTTTTGTTAATTCTAATTCTGAAAAGATGACTCCTAAACCTTCTCTTCTTCACTGTTTTTTCTTACTCTTTGTGGGTGGTTTGGTACACTCAATTCTGGTGCGGTATAACAAAAATAACTTGTAGTAATAAAAAATATTAAAGTTTTTATAGAAATTAGTAAATTGTTATTCAATTTATTGTCGCTATAGGCTTTAGGGATATTTACAAAAAGAGTTAATTGTTGCTAAAAATCATATTTGATGTAGTGGGAGATTTTCTATATAGCGAGAGCTTTAATGTATCGAGGTAGTTTTCTTTGTCGGTAGTTTGGTATACTTGATAAATGTAGATAGTTCTGGAATAAATTTTTAATATATTCTTATTATTAGTTAATCTTGATATAGATTATATTGAGATTAGTAATTAGTATTGAAATAAGTTATTTTTATCAGATATTGAAATAATATATAGTATCAAAATTAGTTATTTCAAAATAAAATGAAATGATAAGATTATCCCATCCCTCAAACACTCTTTGAATAATATAATTTGAAATAACTAATTCTAATATAACTAATTTTAACGTAATTTGTTTTCGACCCAAACGACCCCTTACGGTAGTAGTTCAAATTTTTGCAGTTCACACTCCATAGTCACTGCACACTGTACACTGTTTCAGCGGCTGACATGGAGACAGGGTCCTTGTTTTTTTATTATTATTTAGTGTTTTTATTTTTTACTTTTAGTATATAGTATTATATTTTATTTTTAAATTTTGTTTTATTATGCTATTCTCGTGATTCTTGCTTTTTGGAATTTTCCACATCCTCCTATATTTATTCCCACCACTCTATTCCTCTATTCATGTTACATACTTATTTGTGGGAATATTTCACATGCACCTCTCTTCTCTTTGCATCAATCTAGATGTACCATCTCAAAAGTACCTTCTATTTTTCACATTTAAAAACTCATATCCTAACTAATATTTCATGGATACAATAATAGTATATTTAGTATAGTTTTATAATTGATTG